CAATTAAATATGGCGGAGTCAAACGTATTAAACGATAAGTTAATCCTCCGAATAATTTCACAAAAGTCGTTTTTAATGATTTTATTAAATTTTCATCTTTTTTTTTGTTTTCATTTGATCTTTTGTTCGTTTCCGCTTTGAAATAAACGTATGAAATTAATAGACCGCTAAAACAAAAATTTATTTATTAATTCCATGGCGTTTCGGATTTGAATTTTGCAAAACTTTGTGTTTTACTTAAAAAATATTCGTTTAAAAAAGTATTTAAGGGTGGGAGGAGGGGGCGGGGTAAAGCGGGAGTAACGATAAAATTTTTGTGGGCGTGTTAAAAACAAAAAAACGAGGGAAAAAATGGGAAAATTATGACGGTGAATGGCGAAAAAAAAAAGGAGGTTAATAAAGTAAAATTAAATCCGAATGATGATGATGATGATGATATATCACATAATAATTTAAGTGAAAATTTTTAAAATTTAAAAAAAATAGGAAAAGTAGGGTGAACGTTCCAAAAAAACGGCGACGAAGAAAGTAAAAGACCTTAAACTCAAATTTTTTAAAAAATTTCATTTGATTTGTTTTCCTTTTCTATTTTAAAAAAAAGGGTCAAAGTTCAAACAATTAATCGATGAAGAATACCTTTAGGAAAAAAAATCGTTTTACGTAATATTAATATTACGGAACTAAATAAATGGTGTAATATGGGAAAAAAAATTAATTTTTGGATTTTGCCGTGAGGTATTAGCGAGTTTCATCCCCTTTGAAGCGTTTTGCAACCCCGTTTTCACCCTTTTACCAAAAAACAAAAGAAATTTTAAAAAGTTAGGATTAGGACGACGTCCATTACCTTAATAAGAAAAATGTATCCACGGAGAAAGCACCGTTGCTAATGGATTGAAAGAGAAAATCCCTTTCGACAATGGCTCGAAAATTTTTATTATCTGAAACAAAATAACAAAAACGTGTTTACTATTATTATTATTATTATTATTATGATTTTGCGTCGGCGTGGATGATTGATCTCAATTTTAACAAATCCTTTAATTAAAGTATAAATAAAATTTAAAAAAAAAACTATAATTATATTTAATTATACATTTTCCTCGTTTTCTAATTTTATATGTTTGTTTTTAAATCGCATTCGTAGTCAAAACGCGTGAAAGTGATTTTTTTTTTTTTTTCGATTGGTACACCTGCTGTGTGTGTGCATATACGCACGCATGTTTATTTTTCAATAGAATTTGTAATCGTCATCGTTACGTAAAAAAAAAAATCGATTATATTTTTTTAAATAATTTTAATTATTTAAATTTTCTTTTGTCATCGTATTGGTCTTTAAATTTTAAAGAAATGCTTTCGCCAGTGTTGCCAAATTTATCATCATACCAACGTACCAACAAAAGGCATCGTTATCATGCAAGTATGACCGGCTATAACCCAAAGTAAACTGAAAACTCTAAATCCGTGTATGCATGATAGTGAATCTTTTGATTTCGAATGACTTATTTTTTCCAGGTTTCGTTTCAGTGAAAAACAAAGAAAAATTTCCGTTAGGGTACCTGGAGAGGAAAAATAAAAATTAAAATTTTTTAAATATTATAAAAAAAAAAAAAAAATTTACGAATCGATTTTTTTTTGGACTCTTACTTAATTTATTTTCAGATGATTCAAATGAAGCAACGCTGGGTGTCGATGTTGAATCCGCAATCGAATTTGTATTTTCTACTAGACCGAGTTCGGATCCTCTTATATTTCCTAACAAAAAAATTTATTATTATTATTATTAATTTATTACGTAATCGTTTTATTTTTTTTTTTTTTTCACATCGGTGACAGTAATTTTTTCTTCTACGATGATGATAATAAGAATTATTATTATTATTAATATTTGTAAAATTTATAAAATCGAAAGTCGTTGTTCTTTGGATTTTTCTTCTCCAAAACTTTCATCTTTTTGTTTTAATTTAAAATTTTATCTGATGATTTATAAATCATTCAAAATGATTGATAAATAATACTAAGTAACAATTTTTTTTCGGTTAATGCCAATCAAAATTAAAGTTTTTAATAAGAGAAAATAATTTTATCATCACTTTGTCAGAAAAACTTTTTTAAAAATCTTATTAAAATATTAACTTATTATTTTGTTTTGGCATGATTTTATATTTAAAAGAAAATCTTCTTGTTGTCATAGAATAAATAAATGTCTTCTTTTGACACGATTAAAATCTTCGTTGGGGGGGGAAAAAAAACTTTGACGTTAAATTACTCTATGACTTCCTCCGCAATTTTTTTGTTTTAAAACATCATAATAATAATAATGATAAAACGTGGATTATTAACGATTTTCGTAAGTTTATTACTAAACTCTTTTCTTTTTTTTTCTTTTTCATTTAAAAATTTAAAAATAAACGAAAAAATAAAAATAAAAACGTTAATAAAAAATTTAAATTTTCGGTTCGAAACCTGAATTTTGTTTTCTAAAAAAACAAGACAAGAAAACGACAAAATAATAATTTTTTTTTTTTTTTTGGAAATGACGTAATAAAACGCGTCACGCGAACGTCAATGGACCAATTTACATCTTTAACTATAAACATAATATTTCTATTTACTTTCAATTATTTTTTTTTACGTAATAATTTTTTTCAACTTTCTTTCAATTCCCCCCTCCCACACCTCCTACCCCTCCTCCTCATTCTCCTCCTTCTCCCCAAAAAAAAAAACAACGCAAGTAAAATTATCGTTATCACACTTTAACGCAATAATATAACCGTTGAAAATGAAAAAAAAAAAAAAACAATTAAATAATAATGATAATGATTGTTACCTTCCACGTGATGGCTCACGAAAAATTTTAATTTTTCAATAGTTGAAATTTTAATTGAAATTTTATTTTGACCTATTTCCTTATTTCTTTGACCTTGATTGTTTATTTTTTTCTTTTGATCCAATAATAAATCGATCCATGTTCCAGTTATCATCATTAATATGGCAATCACTAGTACGACTCTGTAAAGAAAAAACAAAATGGCGGGTAAATTTTTTTTTGGGTAGATTTTTCTTATCAAAGGAATTTGATAAGAAACAAAGCAACGTAACTCTGGATATTAATTTCGTCTGCTTTTTTTTTTTTTACAATGAAACTTACGACTTATTTGATTTATGGATTTTAATTTAGGTACGAATTTTTTCCTTTTGGAAATTACCGGTAATTTTAAAAAAAAATTATAAATTTAATGATGACGTAATAACACGCGTGTCCTCGATTAATAATTAATTTTATTATTATTATTTTTACGTAATTTAAAAAAAAAAAAAAAAACAAAGGAAAAAAGGACCGAAATTTATATATTTGACATCATTGTTAGTGACACTTCCTTTTTTTTCGATTGATTAAATATTTATTTAAGTTTATGTAAAACAAACATGAAAAATAATTTCCTTAGTTTAAATTGACGGGATTAAATAATAATAATAATAATATTTAAAATATTACGTCAAAAATAAAATTAAAAACTTTTGAAAAACTTACGCTAAAATAATAGCCATTGGTTCTAAATAAAAATTATAATTAGGATTTGGTACTTTTCGTAATGATTTCAATGTCACAACATCCGGTACATATTTTTCCATAATTGTTTTCAAATCATTTTTCTTACATTCGGAGGGTAAACAAAGACCCATGGTCACCGGTCGAAACTAAATAGGAAAAAAAATAAAATTTTTTTTAAATTGTTGTGGATCTCTCATTTAGTTTTTAAACAAATTGTTTTTTTTTTGTTACCTTTCTTTGTTGTAACGTAGTTGTATTTAAATTAATTTGATATTTTGCCGTGTAGTATGATACTGGAAAAGGTGGGGATTCATTTTTAGCATTTAAAAAATCCAAACAAGCCGATTGTGATCCCAACCAATAATCATTCCCGAATAAAAATGTATGTGCGTATGATCCCGTAGCATCCAAAACTAAAAAAAAAAAAAATTATCCATCAATCACGACTTATTTGGTTTTGTCATACGTAAAATAATTTTTAATAATAATAATAATAATATTTTTAATAAGTAATTAATTAAAAATAAATAAGTTATGCAATGATAATGGGGACTTTATATTCAAAATAAGCCATATTTAATTTATATAAAAAAAT